AAAGAAGGGTGAAATGTAACCGAAAATACAGCTAGCATACTTTGGTTTCTTAGTTGCCCTGGCAATAGTTCTTTGTGTTGGCTATTCTTTCCTCCCTGTTGAGACAAAATACCTGACACCCAAAATTAAGGAAGGAAAGGTTTATTTAGCTCATAGTTAGTGGAGGTTTCAATCCATACTCGGGCTGGCTCCAAGGCCAGGTGGAATGGCAGAGGGGCAATGCTTCAAGGTGGCAGAAGACAGCAAAGAAACAAGAGCACAAAGGAGGGAGAGCAAGCCTCTTCTCCTCTCTTAACCTAGGCCGGGCGTAGCATTCACACCATCTCCACGTCCTCCTCTCCAACTGGAGGAGGATGTTTACAAGGTGAGGACCTTGGCTGCCTGCTACATTAAACTTCTAAATTTCTCAGGTTGACACAATGTATCAACCACTGTGTTCCTGTCCCAGTTCTGGTTGCTTCTGCCTCTTAGGAACGCTGGTCACTGTGATGCACATTGTAAAAACCAATCTCCAGTCGACAAGCCATTCTGCCTCTGTACTTTCTGCTTGCTTATCCCATATAAGCCTGAGGAGCACCAGGGGTCAGGGCCCAACACTTTGGGAATGATCCTGATCAGTGTGCTGCTATGCAAAATAAATCTGCCTCCAAATCTTGGGTGTCTATCGGTGTTTCTGTTCACCAAGTGCAACATCACATAAGTGCGGAATGAGGGCGGCCCCTTGGGCAGTGGGCAGAAACACGGTAAGTTTTCAGCCTCATATTTTCTATTAGGCTGGTACTTACTGTGCTTCAAATGTTACATAAATAAAAGAAAATGTACTTTCATTAAAGTAATACTTTTGTTATTAATACTTAGGGAGCCACCCTCTGAAGATCTGCTTGTATATTCCACACACACAGAGTAACCTTCATACCTGTGTATGTCCTGGGAAGCCTCAGAGGGGGGTCCAGGCCCTCCCTGCAGCCCAGGCCCATAGAGATGTCACAGGAGAGGCAAATCAGTGTTGTGCTTTGGCCACCAACTTTGGCTGGGCTCTTGGTATCTCAGGAAACCCACTACTCTCTGAAACTATCCTCTGCCTCTTGGTAACGTGAACATCAAACCCTTGTGGTCTTTGAGGCTCTGAGTTCCTCCATAAGTGTCTCCCTCTGGGTGCCTCTGAGCTCCCAGATGTAAAACCCTGTGCTGTCATCCCCGTAGGAAGAAGCCCTGTTCCCTCCTTTGCCCACCTTCCTGCCCTCTGGCTGCAGTTAGAGCGCTTCCTCCCTATCAGGCTAACCCACCCACACCTGTGTGTGAAACCCTCACCAGTCCCTTGAACATGCTTCTACTTCCACATTAAAATGCTGAGTCTCTCGCGACAGGAACCTTCCCTCCAATGTGCAAGTGCTCAGATATGTCCCTCACCGGGGAAGTCAAGGACAGTCAGACCCCACATAGCCACTTCTTGCTCAGTGCAGGCCGTTTGCACAATGGTGACCCACCAGATTGTGTTGCTTGGTGACAAGGTAGCATCCTAGTTTCTCTAAGGGAACCAATGATGTCAGCAAAACAACCTAGTGACACACTTCTCAGAACAGGTTACTGCTGTGAAGCGACACATGACTATAAAACAAAGAAGTCCTCTGTTCCCCACATAGCTCCTCCATCCATCATGGTGGTGCTTTTTCACATACAAGCATCAGTTGACTTGTCTCCGGCCACTGTCCCCACTCCCTCCTTACTGTACCTTCTTACTCTATCATGGTCTGGCTTCCACTCCCACCAAAATGTAGTGCTGCCACAGAGCTCTGGGATGCCAGCGTCAAAGGATGCTTCCAGTGTGGAATGTTTTGGCCTCCTCCTGGCCTTGTCTACTCTCCTGCTCAGGGGTGCCCCATCCCGCTGACCCAGCAGGTCACAGCTCTGCAGCCACTGGCCAGGAAAGCCATCCCTGACTCAGCATGTGACCACTCACCGCACATTTTTTCAGCCCTGCGGGGCCTGCCAGGCACAACCGAACACTATCACATTTTGCTCCAGTGCTTGCAGGTTGCACATGTTGCTTAGCTCAGAACTGACGTGAAAACTCCCTCAGTAGACTGTGAGCCCCAAGAGGAAAGGACTGGTGTCTCTCTGTATTTCATGTATGTCCAGCTCTTGGTGGGCACCCTGGAGCAGTCACTGCACTGCTGAACATCAAAGACATATGCTGAGAAATGCATTGCTAGAGGACTTGGCCATAGTGTGGACATCATAGTGGCCTACATGGCCCCCTGGCAGGCCTCGTGCACCCAGGTCACAGACTGGGCAGCACATGACTCACCTGAATATTTCAGGCAACTGTAATACAACTGTAACTGTGTGTCTAAATATTGAAACAGTGCCTTAAAACTAACCAGGCCACAGGAATTTTTCAGTTCCATTATAATCCTATGGGACCACTGCTGTAGTCTCCATCACTGAGTGAAATGTCCATACAGCATGACTGTACTTGTATTTTTAAGAGGTCAGTGAACAAAGTCTTGCCTTGGAGGATGTTGTTATTTAACTGGACCTCCAGTCTGATTTGCCCTGAGAGAGGTGAACAAGAAGCAGAGTGGCCTGTGGGGCGTGTGAGGGGGCAGATAAGTCCTCTCGCCGAGGGCCGAGCCCAGGTGTGCAAGGCCCCTGCTGCAGAGCAGCCGTGGGCCTCAGGAGGAACCTACGTGGGCTACTTCTATACTCTGGGAAGCCTTAGCTTCTCCCACTACACAAAAATCCTTCAAACACACACTATTATTTAAGGAAGCACGAGAGGCGTTCTTTTCTGATGGCAAGATTCTCAGTGGTATAGAAACTCCTCAGGGGGAAACCACTAAGAAGTAGCTCTTTGTGGATGAACTGAAAAGCCCAAAGTAGAAGAAATGAAAACAGAAGGAGTCTTGCATAATTTCCTCTAAAGACTTCAAGATCTCCTTTGAGGAGATTAGTTGCGTTCTGGAATTTTTCCCAAGAATGAAGCCAAAGGCAGCAAACTTTCTTTAACAGAGATAAGAAATAATGCTAACTTGAGACCACCAGACTTCTTGCTTTATGATTTGAAAGGCTATTAGTTGTGCAGGCTGCATTTCTTTTTATTTGACAATTCATTTTTCTTTGCTTCCTAAAAAGTCTCACACATGGATATGTGCGTATGCATATATGTACGCTAAGTAAATTAATTTTCTTTACAGAAATTTAATCTAGAACTTTCCTAAAACATAAATAGTTATATGGGAGACCTACACTCAAAGGCAAATTTGTGATGTCTAGGTTTCACCAGATCCTGAAGGTGAAAACATTCCAAAGCCTCCAACTTTTGACTGCAGTATATTAAATTTAAACCAAATAAACTGAAGGGGGAAGAAACCCTTAGCACCTTACAGCTGTAAACTGGATGATATTACTTACTAAGTCTCTGTATGGTGGCTTGGGACGAATTGCATGATCTTAATTTTCTTTCAAGTAATGGCTGAGCGGACCTAACGTCACTGCATCTTAGTTGGCAGGAGTTGTCTTTTCATGGGAGGTGCAGCAGCAGAATGCAGGTCTTTCTGTCTTTCTTATATGGTAGATTTTTAGGGCTTAGGTAAATTATGAACATTAAATCAAGCAAACCAAGAGAAAGTCAACTCGCAAGACTCATCAGATAGTTGGTTATTTGTTGTGAGACGGTAGAGTGCACGGGAAAAACACATTTGGTGTTTGTCAGACTTGCATTTGAGTACTATCTGCTATTTTTCAGTCAGCAATATTAAATTCTTGGACAAGTGTCCTCACTGACAAATCGGATTATTGAGAAAAAATAAATCAAACAAAGAAGTAAAGTAGGTGTGTTTTGAGACATACCTATTAGGCATTCACTTTGTCAATTACAAGGAATTATTCGTTGCATGCTTACGTATTATGAAAATAATACTAAATATATATTTTCCATATAAGTTAGGAAAAGCCTTTCAATTCTTTCACTTTTCTATCATTTCAAATGAGGAATAGAAAATAATGTATTTTGATAAAGGACATAATAGTAAGAGCTGCAAAATTCCATGGCATCCTTAGAAAGAGAAGGACCTTATGACATAATGTAATAACTGCCAATTTGTTTGGAGGGGAATTTTGTTACAGAACAAGGCAAGAGGACAGAGCCAATGTAACAGGAGTTATATCAAAACAATGCCCAGTGGAAAGGCTGCAGCAACCTACGCATGGGATTGAGGCATTCCCCCAACCCTCATCTGGACCCACCCATCTTCCCCTGGTATGAAACCCGGGTGCCCACCACCAGACCCTCAGGGGAGCCCCCTGGACAACTGCTTCCTCTCCCACCATCTGTGGGTTTTTATTGGCCATGTTTCTCCAGCGGCTTAAGAAGGATGAACAACCACTCCTCTTCCTGTTCAAAAATCCATGCAGGTGGATAATCTGTAACAAATATCTTTTATATCTAAGGAAAATACATGGTCAAGAGGATTAACTAGTGTCAATATGTCTGCCATCATACACCCAACCCACTGAAGTCCTTTCTTCCCATTTAGTTATCCAAGGAGAAAAATAAAGGCATGAATGATGGGAACTAGCATTCCATTGACGATACTTTAATAGGGTAGGAGATTCATCCAGAATAACTTTGGAAAGGCAGACAACACCCCACGATCCTGTCTGGGGCTGGGAAGGAAAGAGAGGATGCATGGACAAGCACTGAGCCATGCACACCAGGACCTGGACCACCTAGTTGACTAGAGTTACCTCAGAATGTATGTAGAATAGGCAGTAAGGCAGATAGCAGTTTTGCTGGGAGGCTCAAATCACTGGGTAGTTGGCTGACTGAGCTACATGACCAAGGACTTTCTTTCCCATGAAGGCTTGATAAAGAGGACACAGCATGAGCCCCACAGTAGAGGCTGGTTTTGCTGCGCTTGTCAACTAAAGAAAGGTTTAAAAGAAAAATGCGAAGGTCCCATGGCCCAGTCTGCTCCACTCGCTGTGCGTCTACTCACAGTGCGGCTCGTAGGGAGGAGGTGGGTCTCCACAGGGCACACACTCCATGTCTTGAAAACCGACAAGTTTAGTTTTCCTGTAAAATCTAGGAGAGGAAGAAAAAGGAGCCTGGTTAGCTCTGCCATCCACGCTGAACAGTTAGAGCATGTAAGTTCTTCATCACAAATTACCAGCCATCTCCATTACAATTCTACGTTGAATAAATGCACCCAAAGGCTTCAACAGTGTCCCAGATAGGCATGCCCTTGGACAGCCTTGTGGCAGGCTGAGAACACTTCAACATTATCAGTTCCACCACACGTAACTGCAGAGTCTTCTCAGCCCACCTTTTAACTATACTGGGGCAGGGTGCTTGGAAAGGAATGTGAAGTTCTATGTTCTTGGCGATTCTGCTGTAACTTAAACTACAAAGAACCAAACTGCTCTGCTTTTACAGTTGAAATTTGGGGGATGAAAAAACTAAGCAAACCACAAAAGCAGTGGAAAAGTAGAGAGATTTAGACAATCATGACATTGTTCTTTCTGTCTAGGCATGACAAGACACCCAGGAGCCAGAGCAGAAGAGAGTGACAGCTTTGACAAAACAAAAAAATTATGAAGATATCTCAAGGTCAAAAATGAAGCGTCACTAACACAGTTCATGGGCAACGAAAGTTCAGGAACGCACTTATTTTACTAAGCCATCTCCCTGGCCCAAGGCAATGAAAGTTCAAAAAAACTATTCCAGGTATAACTTAAGTCTGTGCACTTAGCTGTGGATAATTTAAGTCTGTAGGGAAGACAAAAGTCATTATGGCAAAGAGAATGCTGTAATTCAAACAAGTAAAGAATATTCAATCCCCAAAGAAGAACATTCTGTAACTATAAAATTTCATAATTAAAATGGCTGGTAGAATTAAAAATCTTAGAAAAAATATTAAAATGCTTAGTGTCATTGCTAATCAAGTAAGTACAAGTTGAAGAGAAAATATATCACTTTGTTTAGAGTCCTGGAAAAGGGTCGAGACACACACAGGCAGAACGGCCAGTTCTGAGAAGGCAATTTAGCAACGTGTCATCAGAGATCCTTAAAATACTTTATGCTCTTCCCCAACTACTTTCATCTCTAGGAATTTGTCCTACTGTAGAGTCTATCTGGATGATGAGCTCTCTCTACCCTTTTAGAAGGGGATCTCTATCCTTAGTTCATTGCACTCTGGTCCTACTCTTTCTCCACATCTCAGTCCAAATAAAGCTATGTCTTCTGGTCAAATATGTGCTTATAGAATTGCCAGATATAATTCTCTTTTGAAAATGGATAAATTACTAGCAAATCAGCATAATTTATGGTTGAATCAAAATTTTCAATTGCAACTATCTCAGATGCCCAGATACATTCAGTAATATTTTATTAGACCCTGAAAATTTGTCAAATGATAGGCAACATACTGACTTCTCACCAGACTTTGAAAAGAATTATTTTATAATTTGTAAAGTAAAATGTAGAAGGACAAAATTGGAAGACTCACACTTCCTGCTCTTAAAGCACACTGCAAAGCTACAAGTCTAGGCAAGGTGGCGCACGCCTGTAATCCCAGCATTTGGGAGGCTCAGGCAGGAGAACGGCTGTGAGTTTGAGGTTGGCCTGTGCTAGTAAGTAAGTTCAAGGCCAGACTGAACTTGTCTCAAAAAACAAAACAAACAAACAAACAAAAAAACCCAAAAAACTAGTTATAACAATCAAAACAGTGTGGTTCTGACATTCAGGTAGGCAGCCCAATGGAGTAAGAAAGCCGAGCATGAAGCCCCTGCACCCGCGGTCAGTGACCTTTGGCAACGAACCAAGAGCACTGGCTGAAGAAAGGACAGACTCTTTAAACAAGCAGAGCTGGGAAAACCCACACACGGAAGAATGAATGTAAACTCTTACAACATATATAAAAGTCAACTCAAAATAAATTATAAACCTGAAACTCAGATCAAAAACTATAAAACTCTCAGAAGAACAGAGGGGTACATTTCACGTCACAGGACTTGGCAGTAGTATTTTGGACACGACATCAAAGGCACAGGTAACAAATGCAAAACTTGAATGCATGAGATTGCGTGAGACTTTACTACTTCTGTGCATGAGAGGACAATTCGACCTGTGAAGTGGGAGAAACTATTTGTAATTCATATATCTGATAAAAAGCCTATAAAGATCTGTCACTCAACAACAAAATTCAAATACCTTGACTTAAAAAATGGACAAAGGACTTACACAGACATTCTTGCAAAGATGATATCCACGCGGACAAGAAGTGTATGAAAAGATACGACATAACTAAATATCAGAGAACAGTAAATCAAAACCACTGAGAGGTATCCCTCTGCAACCATTAAGATGGCTGCTTTCAGAAAGAAAAGCAAAGTAACAGGAAGAACTGCGGACAGAAATGTTGGAGAGGGTGCAGGAACTGGAATTATGTATACTACTGCTAGGACTACAAAATGGTGGTGCTACTACAGAAGCCAAGGCATTTCCTCAATATTAAAAATAAACTAGGCTGGGGAGATAGCTCAGCAGTCTAAGCACCTGCCTGGCAAGTACAAGGACCTGGGTTCAATCCCTGGTACCGCATGCTATGCTGGCCACTGAAACTGGGTGTGGTGGCGCATGCCTGTAATTCCAGTGCTGGGGAAGCTGAGACAGGAGGATCACTATGAGTCTGAACTGTATAGTGAGACCCTGTATCCAATAAATAAATAAATAAATAAATAAATAACT